ATATATATAACTATTTTAAATTATTAATAAAGATATAAGCAAGGCCTCACCTTAATACCAAAAAAAAAAAAAAATTTTTCATAAGAATTTCAAAAATTGTTATAATTTTGAAAATTTTGATTAAAGAATTTTTCTTCTTTAAAACTAAGATGAGCTTCTGATAATTCAAAGATATCAAAGTTATGTTGGTTAATAATATCAATGAATGAGTACTTTTTTGAATATTAAAATAAACCATTAATATTTAGAGAACTGATTTTAATAGAAATTGAAATTATAGATGTGAAAGATGTTTGAAGAGAAAAGATATTATTAGTTAAAGTAGTATCAGATAAATGTGATATAAGAAAGATGAGATTTGTAATATTGAGATTGTTAGTTTTAAAGAAATCAGAATCTGTTAATAAATTAGAAACTGAAAATTGTTGATATAATTTGATAGGTAGATTATAGTATTGATAATAAAGTAATTTAGAGAGAAGCATGTAATTTAGTATTATACAGTTGTTTAAATTTTTATAAATATGTGTTTTAGTAAATATAGTATTGATAGAGATTTTAAATAATTTGTTAAATAGATTATTTTTTAGATATTAAAGAAAATTTAAAAGTGTTTGATTAGGTGATAAAGTTAGAAGATTATAGTAAGTTAGAAAGATATTATAACAAAAAGGATTCTTGAAGTTAAAAGAGAAATTGGAATTCAAGGATGAGTAATAGGTTTCTGCAAGGTTACTCACCATTTTAAGCTCAGCTTGCACAGCTGTGAAAGATAGTGTAGTCTTCTCTGTATGTTGGGCCTGACTATCATAATCTTAGTCTTCTATATAACATATAAGTTTTTTCAAATTGCATATTACTATAGTTATTAAATATATTAATAAGTTGGTAAATATCATACAAATTAGAATAAAAAATATTTGGGCAGAAAAAATCAGAACATGTTTAATAGATGGACAAGCAACAGCATTCACTTTATTAGATTATTTAGTATTTAACAAACAACTAATAATTTAAAAACCTAGTTTTATTAGTATTTTCATTATTTGAAGATCATATTATACAGAATACAAATATACATATTGAGTTTTTTAAAGATGTTTTAGACTTATATAATAAGAGTGTTAATAATAATCTTTTTCTCTTAGAAGATAACTGCAATACAAATAAAAATATAGCCAATAATTTGATATTTTGCTTATAGAATGTGTATTGTATCATCTAAATTTGCAGTTAATAATTTTATTAATTTTCCATTAACTCTTGTATACCAATAATATGAACTTATAAAAATTATGGAAAACTTGCAAAAGTAATATCTTTAAAACCTATACAACTTGTTAGATAAGCATCATAAAAATGATCAAATGATATAAAAATTTTATTCCTTATATTACTCAAATGAACAGATTTTTAGGTCATGATATTTTATTGATGAAGAAGTTAGATCTTGATAAAGTTAATAATTTTATTAAATAACTCAAATACTTTTTTGAAACAACAAATGATTTGCAAAACAAATCTATGAAATTAGATAATATTCATATTTATTTTGATTTGTTAATAAAAGAATCACTAGGTTTAGAAAACTGATTAAAAAAAGATGTATTAGTAATCCATAATTCTGTTTTTGAAGAAGCTATAATTAAAGTTTTAAGCAAGAAAGAAGCCATACTAACACTAGATAAAAAACAAAAATTCTGACCATTTATTATTAAACCAAATATAAAACAAATTGTATTAGAAGGTGCTTTAATTATAAAAAGAACAGGTTACAAAAAAATGCAAGCTAGAAGAATCAAAGTATATGGATTTGAATATTATTTCTTTTATTTCTAATTTAGTAAAACATTTGTTTTCAATTGTTAAATATTATTATATAGACTAACAAAAATATTTTGATCTATTTACTTTAAAAAATCTTTTAATATTAAGGTTAAATAATAAACTGTAATTGATTCAGAATATTTACCAGATTTGACAATAAGTTTGTATATATACAATTATAGTATATATATAGTTAGGTTGATTACAATAGTCACATATGAAAAGAGACATATAACAAATACATGAAAAAAATATATATGTATCAATTTATATATAACAAAGTAAAATTTCAATTAATTTTGATTAATTGCAATTATTCTATCATTAATTGGACTCAATTATTTTTTATAATAATTTTAATTAATTGTAATTTTTTATACATATAATAAAATTTAATTGCAATCAATTATTTGGTAGGCCTGTTTTTTATAGCTTTTTTATTTGTTATATTTTAATAAACACATATTTAAAAAAAAATAATAACTAATATTGATCTATAAATAATATCTTCTACTTTTTATACAATTATTTCTTATTAATATCAATTCTGTTAATATCAACCTAATTTATAAACAAAATTTTTATAAATTTTTATATATTAAATTTTTTTTATATATATTTAACATAATCTTTCATTAATATTACTATCAATACGTATAAATTTAAACTAATCCAAATAATAAGAAATAACTGTATAAAAAATAACATTAAAAAGATATGTTAAATTGTTACAAGAATCTAAGTTAAAAAGAATTTTTTTAATTGTTTATTTAATTTTTTTATTTCTATACATTCTTGATCAACAATTAATTAATCACTGCCTGTTTCTAGAATGTTCTTTTGGTTTGGATGTCAAATGTGTGAAAAAGTCCACCATAGCAGAAAACTTGACCCAATACACAAACTAGCTCCTTTGTGTTTCATGTATTAGACTTCATCAACAACAGTTTTAAACCAAGAATAACTTTACCTACAGATCGCAGATCATTTTAGTAATTTGCAATTATAATAATTACTATTATATTTATATATTGACTTTTTTAAAAAGTTTATTTTTATATTAATTCGTGCTTAGCTAGTATCTATTATTTTTTTAAGATAAATGCTTATGAAAACTTTCACAGAAAAATTTGTAGTGCATTTAATGTATTTCTTAAATCCAAATGTTCTAAATTACATGACTCTGTGAGTATCTGAAGTATCAATTAAATAATGGAATTCAATCAAATTTTGCAAAGACCTCCAAAGTTTTTTTAGAAAAAAGTTTCTTGTTATCGAACTATACTAATCAAACAAGCATTTCTACCAATAGTGTTGAATGGATTAAAAATAACCTGCATATATGGTAGAGAAATGAAATTAATACTCATTTACATGTATGCTCTATTACAAATATTTAATTGAAATGTTTACTATATATTTCTGCAAAGTCAATGCTTTATTAGCTGTATAGATGTGATTCGTTATTCTAACCCTTAATTTTCTTTTGTATTAAATTAAGTCGGTCGAAATCATCATAAAACATAACATGGATTTATTGAGCGAAATAAATATGAGACGATTATTTTAAAATTGATAATTTATTTTAAATATCAAAAAATGTGTATGAAATTATTTTTTTATAAAATGATTAGAAAACTACTAAACCAAACTTTTCTAAAGAGAGATCACTTTACCAAATGTTTTGTTCAATTACATGTTCATTCTATGATAATGTTGACAATATTGACAATGATGATGATATATCAAATATCGATTCTATGATTTCCAGTCTCTAACAACTTTATTACTTCTCAAACGTTTCTCCTTCAGCAAACTTCGTTGCTCCTAACAAACTCTAAAACGTTTTCAACGGCCATTTCTAAATTCATCTGCATGTCCCTTGCACCATTCGAATTCAATACTACCAATTCATCAGTAGTCAGCCTAATTTCTGAATGATCTTTAAATAAATGTCTGTGAGATTTTACGTAGTTTGGCCATACCATTGTATCAAAATAGTTTGGCGGATCTGACCAGTAGCCTAATTGAAATAAGATACGTTAAAGAACATATACCACATCAAAAATTGATCATATTAGAAATCCATATAACATTTTATTATTCTTACCATCAACGGTAACATATCCAGCTCGTTCCTCTCGCCTTTTTTTCAATGTTGTATAATCAGCTTGAACAAACAATTTAATATCTAATTCCTTTACAACTTGCATATCCCAATAAAGAAGAAAGCCATCAACTAAAACGAAAGTCCAATCAGATAAATTATTTATACTTGAAATACCAATATTCTCATCTTTGTTATTTAAATCATTTTGATCAATATCATTACTTTCACTACCATCTGACAACACATTAATAATTCGTCCTGATAACTGATTTATTAATGATTCTAGATGAGCTTCAAGTTTGATATCATTCCTAACATTTAATCTTTCTTTCGATCTAAAAGAATCGGGTAATAGTCCTGTTTGATGAACTTGTCGTAATGTTTTAATGAATTTTGGAAAATCTACAGCGTCAGGACAGTCCCAATTAGAGAGGTTTGTCGTTGGGTCAATTGGAATTTGAGATACGCACTTGTTTTTTTAAACAGAAAAATAATAGGATTAATTTAGAAAAACAGATTTAAAAGGAATGTTGACATTTACTCTGAAAATGGGAATGGTTGAAAACTTAGATATTTTGATACCTTGAAAAAATCATCCTGATGAAATATCCAACTATTCGGTAGGATTCGTGTAAGGAGTTTAGCTAGTGTCTAAATAATAAATTTTCGGATTTTTTCGGTTAGAACGTTTTAAATCATTAAATTTTCATAAGATTAGTAAGCAGTAATTTTAAGACATACGGTTTTACCAGAACAGGATGCACCGCTATTAACAAAGATAAAATAAAATGAAAATAAAATGAAAATTATATTTAAAACAAAAAATATCACAAATTTATATATACTGAAAACTCACCCGATGCCTACCAAAACAATCTTATTCGATGATGGCTTTGTCATTTTTTTAAAAAAAATTGAAAACAAAATACAGGAACGATTAGGTTTTAAAGGATTTATAGATTGTGGATCGTAATACAGTTTTTCCGGAGAATGTTTAATGAGAATGTTTAATCTTTTAGTTTATGTAAATGCTTGACCTTTTATACTTTTATATTATCGATCCGTTAAAACCGCGATCACGTGAACGATTGTTCGAAGACTTTATTCCTAAATGAGGCATTCATAGATTCTCTAATATTACTACATATATATACAAGTTTGCCTAGAAAATTCCTGATACACGCATTCCCTGGGAGGGAAAGTCTGTGTAATGCACGAGTCTGATTTATCCTTATATAATCGATTACGTAGTACCGGTACGGTAAAATAAAAAAGACGAATGAAACAATATGCATGATGTAAGCTCGGGTACATTATACAATTAAAACGTGTTTGTAACTGATAGGGTTGTGATTGGGCAAAGTTGTTTCATAGATGAAAACATCGATTAGATATCAATCATAAATCTAATCATGTAAAACAAAGTGGAACTTGATAGATATTGATATCGATACTGTATACTAATTTCGGAGCATGTCTAAACCAAATGTATATTACAGGATTACCCTCTAAAAGAAATATTGAACTATCGACTATTTAATAGAACTTCGTTATTAAGTTATTAAAATTATTACTATGGACAAAGCTTTATTATTGTCCCTGTATAGAATAGTGTACATTGTCCACTGTATATCTGATACATATTAGTAATTAAGAAGTCTACGTATAAAAATACAAAAAATTCTGATTATCATACGTAATTTAGGCTTAAAAAAGTTAGTGTTAAGCAAGTTTATAATTAATAATAAATAAATAAAAATAATACGTAAATATTATTCAGCAAACTTAAAATTATAACATTTTACTTTTGTGTAATAACTTATCGAATTAAACTCAGCCAATTATATGACTTGAGAATAATCTTAATTTTTGGGAATACTCTACTAAGGAATTACTATATTATCTGTTATTAATATAAATAAAATTATATTTTCCCGGTATGCTTGCTAACAAAAAACTCTTGATATGTAATCATTACTAACTGTTTAATAACATACAGTAAATATTCAAAATTCCCTTGAAATTAAATCCAATATTTAGTAATCAATAATAAATCTTAATAAACAAATATCGGATCCTATGGTCGATCTTCAGGTGATGCATTCTACGACCAGGTTCAAGTCCCTCCCGTTAGATCTTCAAAAGAAGATCTGACTCAGATAGGTACTTCAACAGGACGTTGTGAGCCCCATTAAAATCATGATTCAACGTTAATTGGCATTCTTTACACGAAAAAAGCTTCTTTTTTTTCTTTAGATTCTTATTTTGCCACCCACACAATCCACAAATTTGTTAAGTATATATTCCTTATATATACGTATATAGTATAAGTTTTAAATTCTGGCATACTCTCAAATTCAATATAATCCTTATCAAATGTCAGAATTAAAGATAAAATATTTTTTATTTGATTTAAGATCAAAGTAATGATATTTTATATTAAATCAGACTTGACAAAATTCATAAAAGTCATTTAGGCAACAATTATTTCTTTAAGTTCCAATAATGTTCTGATCTATAGGAAGCTATAATTCTTATAATAGCTTATAGCTGTTGTCAGTTTATAACCAAAATTTGATGTTCTCTTGTTGTTTTGAGTTTTGTTTATTATTATTATTATGTTTTTTAGATTTTTTTTTCTTCTGATTTTCTCAAAAAAGCTAAACCTTATTTATAATTAATTAAAAACAATATTAAACAATAATGTTATATAACTTGTATAAATTGTTATATGTGTAAATATATTGTTGTAATTAGGTTGTAACCTAATTATCTTAATATAAAAAATTTGTTTTAAAGTAGATTGTAATCAATTACATATTTGTATTTATATAGTATTAGTAGATTATACTTAACAATTATTTAAATAAAAATTAAACATATTTAATTTGTTTTTTTTGATATATAAAAGAATTTTTAAAAATTAAATTAATAACTTATAGTTTGAATAATTTTTTATAAAGTTATTAGTTTATTTTTTTAAAATATTATTTTATTAAAGAAGTATAAAAAATAAAAATTATTATATTTTTTAAATTAAAATGTTTATATAAATAATTTTTATTAAATAAAAATATTTAATTAGTCAAAAATTTATTTGATCAAAATAAGTAAAATCAAATTCTTAATATACTAATATATTAGCAAATTATGAACTTGTTTGTGATTATTAATAAAATATTTAAAAGAATTGGATTTTTTTAAGAAAATATATTTTTATTAGTTCAACTTTTTATCTATTTTTTATTCTGTTCTTAATTTAGCTTACTTTTAAAGTATAGTCTTAAATAGTATATTACAAGTAGGTACTTAAATTAAAACTACAAAATTTTTTAATATTTTATAGTTAAATAAATAAAATTTTATTTTATTATTATTTAATTACTTGATAGCAGAATGTAAACATTCTTTAAGATTCTAATTTGAATACTTATTTGCAGAACACTAGTCTAGAAGCAATAATATATTTATAAATTCTTAGAATTTCTAATTAGAATTAAGGTTTTTGTATTTTTTATTCTATCTTATTTGATTCTAAACATAATTTAACAATATAAGTTATAATTTTTAATAAAAATAATTTATTATAATTACAATTAGTATAATTAAAAATTTATATAAAATAATAAAAATAGAAAGCTTACAACTGTAGTTTAGTAAATTTGTTTAGACAAAGTTAATTATAATAAATTAATAGATCTAAATAAAATAATTATATTAATAACTTAATAATTAAGAATTTTGTAATCTATTACTATAGCAACACATTACTAGCTTCTATCACATAATCACTATTGTATAGTATTATTAAAATTTTAAAAAAAGAATTATACATTTTATAATTTCTTGCTATAGTAATTTGTTACTAATATAATAAATAATATACAAAAGCTCAAATAATATGTAACTGTACTAATAAAATTAGTAAATGCATTGGTTCATAATATAAACTATAGTAACAAAAGAATATTCAAATATAGAAAAATAAATTATTAATTAAGATCAAATCTAATAAAATTAAGCATTAAGTTATCTATTTATTTAAAAATTATTATTAAAATCATTTTGAACAATCTAATTAACCTAATTAAAAAAATATAAAATTAGTTATAGTTTATTTAATAAATATAATAGCCAAATGGTTCATGTACTCAACTTGTCAATTTTATACAAACCATCCAACTATATTATAAAAATAAAGAACAAAATCTTTATTTCAAATCTTGTAGTTTATAAATAGAATTTATTTAGTTAATATATTATACAAGAGCTTTAAACTTTTGTGCAATTATCAATATTTTTATTTCTACTTATTATTTTTTTGTTGCTATGTTAAAGTTACAATGCTTTATTATATAATATTCATTATAATGATACAGTTTTGCATTTAATTTCAAGTTAAAAGAAGTAGTAAAAAATTTTTCTTGGTCAGTAGAGAAATAGTTAAGTGTTTAAGTATTTTTAGTTATTTAACTTCTTTTTATAATCATAAAATATTAAGATTTTTCTTTGCTATATAATTTTATACTTTATATAGAATATAAATAAATTTTGGTTTGTTTTGTTTTAATATCAAAGGTAAGTACTTGCAACTCAGGCTTTAATTAGATAGTATATTTCAGCTTTGTAATTGTATTATAATAGCTACAAAGGACAATTATAGAAAGAGTATACAACTAGCTACTTATACAACTTCAGTCATTGTCTAATTTAAATAGTCTGTTTAAAGGTTCTATACTAGCTACCATATCTAAAACCTACTTATAAGTTCTCTATTTAAACACTCTGATTTCTATATTTACCAACCTATCTACTTTACCAATTGTCTTAGTTTTTACTAGTATATATATACTATAATCACTAGGTCTTTAAAGCAGTTCACTCATATGAGAAACCTTTGATCTTATACTAAGTTCACTAAAGCCTTCTGTTATCTAATTTTCAGCTAACACAGTATTACTATAGCTAAGACCAATACTTGCAGTTAGATTAATTCTTAAACTGTTACACTTTTATAAAGTTCATAGAACTCCAGTAACTTCCTTTACAATCTTTACAACTTTATCAGTATCTTGTATGTTCTTGCAAGTTCTCTTATACTACCACTCTAATTAGCTCTATATAATATAATTATATACCTGGTTTAACTGATAACCAGCTTAGTAGACTCTTTTATCTAAGTTTTTTGTTTATATAGATTACCTATTCCAGATTTTTGTCTCTAGATTAAGATTTTTACAAGTAATATCATCAAAGATTGTACTATCTCTCTATTTAGGATTTCCAAACAGAGCTTCTTATAAAGTATATATTTTTGAATTTATTTATATAACATTATACATACTTAAAGTTAGTCTTGGTACAATCAAAATTACAAGGTTATAACTCCAGATATCCTATATAAGTTACCAGAATAAAACTATTTTTCAAATTTCTATCACTAGTAGAATTTGAATTCTAAACCTACTGCTTGAAGAATAACACTCTAAATACTACACTAAAATTGTTATTTTCTAAATAACTTTTGTACTTATTAGCTAAATAAATATTTGTATATAATGTTAAATAAGTATTTATAAACTTATATATATAATATTTAATTCTACTAATTGAATTAATATAAATAATGATTTATATATAAGATAACTAAATATTTATAATTTTGTTTTGTCAACTTGTGTTGATTTTAATTCTTTATACTTATCAATTTAAATTATTGTAAATAAAATAAACTTCACTAATTAATATATATATAATAGTAAATAAGTATTTAATAGTCTTTTTATGAATTTGCTTTATTGATATTATTTTATTAATTAATAAATAATTTTATTTTTTTAAAATATTAACAATAAGGCCATGTTTTTAATTTTATCAAAATTCAATTAAAGTTTTTATAA